TTCTCTTCTTCATTGTATATATAGTACACGCAGTCCAGAAATTATTAACTACGGTGGCTGAACACAGTTTTTTCTGAGATACAGTTGCATGTGCTAAGCCATTTTCCCTGAAACAATATTAATTCTGAGCAGGCAAAAGCCCTGACATGATCTTTAAAAAAAAACATGATAAAAGAACACCTAAAACTTCTAGCCTGTAGAAATGCTTTATTCCATGCAGCCATTAGGATTTTCCGGGAAAAAATTGTGAGCACACGCTTTAAAAAATTCCCAGAAGTTGTTGAAGATTTACATTAAAAAAATCCGAGTAAACTCTCTCATAAGCAACCACCCTTGATACACGACAAAGTGATCACTTATGGGAAGTCATTGTCATACAAAAAACAAGCTCAAACAGAATTGATTAACATAATTACATTAAGATTGTTAACTTACAGGCCAAAAATACATTCTGGCTTATTTCAAATTGAGCAGTGCTTGGAGAATCTAATCATAATTTATATTCAGTGTTCCCACCAGACCGCGGCCTTGCAGAATTCCCACAAGAAAATCTGAGATGGCACATTAAAAGACAAGAAGATGTGCCCGTTGGGGCGCAGAGGCATGCTACGAGTCAAACGGACTTTAGAACGTCCACAGTTAAGTAGTTTTAATGGTCAACCTAACACCCCTGCCAGCATTTTGCTTGGTCGAATGAACAAAAAACATGATATCAAAAGATTAAAAAAATTAAAGAATTTGAATCTTTTGATATCATGTTTTTTATTCATTCGACCAAGCAAAATGCTGGCAGGGGTGTTAGGTTGACCATTAAAAACTAAATTATTTCCTTAACGTTTGTTCATCCCACGTACAGCGAAGATTGGTTCATGCATCGTTATCGAATCGCAAACACTCCATCCGCCATATTAGATCAGGTAGGTGTACTTCACGCAACAGATCATTTGAAGTGCGGGTTCACTTTGTCCCCCTGAAGTTCTTACAGGGGCTCCTATTTCTCAACAGGGGGGCCCTGGGACTCCCCAAGGCAAAATCCTGGTGAGAACACTGTATATTACTATGCATTGTTGAACCTTTGCACAAAACGTCTTGCATCAGATCACTGTATTTTGTAACAATCCACCTTTTAACTGGTTAAGACTGCTCTTGTTATAGCTATCTTTTTTGTAAGTCAACACTGTTATTACCTGTCCACAACCTCGGTTAGTGCAATAATTAAAGATTTAACTTTTGTTATATCTGTTTAAGATTTCCTTATGAATCACCACACATGATCATTCCGGATGGTCACTCACCGGAAACAGAAAACAAAAGAATATGTCAAATTTCTGGTCAAAAAGGTGGTTGCAGTTGCTTGAGAAGTGGTCACTTACGAGAAAATTTACCAAAACCAGTAGTTGACTGAGAAACATTTAACAGTTATTTACAAAGGGAAGTGGTCACTTACATGTACGAGAAGTGTTTGCTATGAGAGACTTGACCGTATATATTTCTGTTTTTATCAGTTTTGTCATAACATGATTTCAACCAAAATGTTGAGCATGCATACCCAATACTTAGGGAACAATATTGTGAGAGTGCTTGTTTTGTTTACTTTCACAGGCAAAGTAAGCAAATGCAAATATCTCAAATTCTACTCACTAGAAACGAGTAGTCCCCATTTTTCCTCAGGGATAGTATAACCTGAGATCAGGCCCAATTTTAGCGGTTCTCATACATTCTCTCTAATGACTACCACCTTGCCCGCCGGAATGTTATTTACAAAGCGAAACGAAAATTGAGCCTGATCTCAGGTTAGGATAGTAGAGCGAGAGAGAAAGGCAAGGGGTGAGGGACTACTCGTAGTCTAATTTGAAAGTTGACGCAATCAAATTTCATATGGTGATGAAAACTGTTTGTTACAATTTAACCAGGTTCTAATGACTAGATTTTGCTTAAAGCGACTAAATTCAATAATTTTTATTAAAAATTGTTTAAAACGCCTTTGTTGCCATGACAGTAATTTAGAAATCTTAAGTTTTACCTTATACATGTATTAAGTCCCTGTCAAATTTGAGCTTTATCCCTGCAATAAGTCTTAAATACCACCCTAATGAACGTTAACTACCCACAACCCATAAAACAGCATTCAGCCACCTTTAAATCATCGAACAAACATATCAGAGATACCATACTGTAAACTGCCGTTTATGAGCCCGGGGAGGGGGAGGTATTGTTGCAAGCTCTCTTTTCCTCTACCCTCGTGGAGAGCCTGCAACCAGGCTACTTTTCAAGCCCCACCATGGAGCTTTTGTATATCCCACCTGTTGGGCACACTTGGAATTGACTAAAGCAGTGTAGGGCGTTCATTTAGGAAATCAGTCAGTATTTATCCTAGATCCGCGCCTGAAGAGATGGGCCTATAAATGGGGGGAGGGGGCTTACAGGCGACAGTTTACGGTATTTTATTAAATAAACACCAATAAAATACCAGGTGAGCTTTTGCGCGAAAACATGATATCTTCACATGCGAAAAGATCACCATTGCTATGGCTACATAATAAATCGCGCCTTCCACAGCAAAAAGCTATTTAATGAAATGGCTACGCATTTTATTGGTGTTTATGTAATAAATAGAACATTACAGTATGTTGCCCAGTATCCGGACGGTACCAGTATCCGGACACTTGAAACAAAAACTCAATTTTTGAGGCGCCCTTTTCAGTTCTCGGTAAACGAGGTATTTTGAATGAAAGCTGAACATTTCAGCTTTAAGATGAAAGTTTTGGCGATTTGAAAGCTTGAGAAACAGTTGCAGAAGACGCCGTTCTGTTCAGGTTAGTAAACTTTTTATGGCTAATATTTACGCTGTTTACTGCGCAGTAAAATTAGTGCTGCTCAGAGAAGGAAGGGTAATGTGTGATATTTTGAAAGAAACTGTTTTATTTTTAAAGTGAAGATACTTAAGAAAGTCAGCTTTTCAGAAAGTTTATTAATTCTTCTTGAAATTCGATTTGTTTGGAATAACGGAGGCCAGAAACATTCACTAAGTATTGATGTTGGGTGCCCAGTATCCAGACAGTTTTTCATTTCTGTAAAGAATCGATGAATTAGCTGTGTACATTATCCGGATAAGATTTATTTCATATCAGTAACTATAATTAAAGCTTAGGATATATGATATAGTCGTAAAATGTAATTCTACTCAACTCCGTAGGGAAATTTTCTTCACTCATTCAGGGGCGACTTGATTTCGTGTGCACGGCTTGTTTCGCGTGACTGCATTTTCCATATATAACCGAAAGGGTCTGAGTTGAACCTGGAATTCTCATACTTTCCCCAGTTGTGACTGCTAGGATGGGGTTGCAACGGTCTGAAAAAAGGTCACAAAGGGATTGAGAGATGTGAAAGAAGGAGGAATTAGTGCTAGAAAATCAGGCTTATTGTTGGGACTGAGAATGAAGAAATTAACACTGCAGGTCAGACTAAATAGGAGAGTGACCTTTGACCGTCGGATTGAGGTCCCTTCCCCAAGCTTTTTTTTTAAATAGAAAATGAAGAAAAAAAGTCGTTTGCAGATTGGCTAATTGAGCTTGCAAACTGCGGCTTCGGCATGTCCACGGATGCCTTCCTTAAACCAGTGAAAAAGTTCCTAGACAAGGAAGTGAGAATTATACCATTTTTAAAACAGCCACTCGCGTTCCCCACCATACCCCAGTCATTTGTCATGTTTTATTTCACGGTGCTACAATTGTAGGTTATATTTTTGGAATCGATTGCCAGAATACTTTGCAAGTGCAAGAGAAGCTTATAAGTCGCTTGCCTGTCGAAATTTATGTACAATTACTTTGTTATTGTTGTGTCCGGATACTGGGCCAGCTGTCCGGATACTGGGCAACATAGGAGCTCCGCAAAAATATTAATTTCCCTATGGAAACAAGGGCAAAAAAGTTAAACTGTCTTTCGTCATATTAAGGACTAAATAGATTTTCTCTGGACCAAATTTCAGAGCTCTTGCTATTAACAAAGGAAAGTTATTGCAATCTTAAACTGAAGTGTCCGGATACTGGGCAACATACTGTACATGGTTGCTTGGAGATACAAAATTTCTTTTCTCTTGTTGAAAAATATTTCACTTTCGTATCTCCGCGCGGCCATCTAACACCCTCTATTTATTAACAAAAGCTAATTATTGTAAAGAGTTAAACTGTTCTTATCGTTTAACTTACCCTATCCGTGTCCCTTTACGACCTTTTAGCATACGCTTTTAACAAGACTCGACGTGAAAGTCGCGTGATTCCACCAAAACACACTGCTTATTAACTTCAAACATTACAGAGCATTGGAGGAAGTAAGCTTATGTCGATGACCAGCGATGATTCAGTTCGTAAGACTCATGTTAATAGTGTACAACCTTTTTCGTCTGGCACTCTAAAATATGAACTTTGTGGAACAGGTTTCTCATAACACCATTTAAAAAAGTCTGTTCCTGTTCCTTCGTTCGAATGATTCTGTCGACCACAGGCTGAAAAGGAAAGACTGAAATGGGTTTCAAAGAAATTCTAATGACGATTAATCTCAACTGGAAAATTAGTGACCATGCATATAAATATCTTACCCAAGGAAGTTGTTCAGCATTGCAGTTTCAGAAACGTTGACGGTTCTCTAAATTTGGGTAACAGACCAGTTTCGATATATCATCAAAATTCCTACTTTGTNTTCTCTGGACCAAATTTCAGAGCTCTTGCTATTAACAAAGGAAAGTTATTGCAATCTTAAACTGAAGTGTCCGGATACTGGGCAACATACTGTACATGGTTGCTTGGAGATACAAAATTTCTTTTCTCTTGTTGAAAAATATTTCACTTTCGTATCTCCGCGCGGCCATCTAACACCCTCTATTTATTAACAAAAGCTAATTATTGTAAAGAGTTAAACTGTTCTTATCGTTTAACTTACCCTATCCGTGTCCCTTTACGACCTTTTAGCATACGCTTTTAACAAGACTCGACGTGAAAGTCGCGTGATTCCACCAAAACACACTGCTTATTAACTTCAAACATTACAGAGCATTGGAGGAAGTAAGCTTATGTCGATGACCAGCGATGATTCAGTTCGTAAGACTCATGTTAATAGTGTACAACCTTTTTCGTCTGGCACTCTAAAATATGAACTTTGTGGAACAGGTTTCTCATAACACCATTTAAAAAAGTATGTTCCTGTTCCTTCGTTCGAATGATTCTGTCGACCACAGGCTGAAAAGGAAAGACTGAAATGGGTTTCAAAGAAATTCTAATGACGATTAATCTCAACTGGGAAATTAGTGACCATGCATATAAATATCTTACCCAAGGAAGTTGTTCAGCATTGCAGTTTCAGAAACGTTGACGGTTCTCTAAATTTGGGTAACAGACCAGTTTCGATATATCATCAAAATTCCTACTTTGTTCCGAGACTTAGGGGAGTAAAACAAAACAAGTCATCTTGAGGCAGTTGAGGTTCAGGGATAAATAATACATTGCTTTCGTTTTATTCCTGCAATCCAAACTTCCAGCTGCCGTTCACGCAAAATATTCTACGACGTTTTGGGGAGGCTTACACGACCAAGAAGTCACTTGTGACCAGGCCTTCTCAGAGGGTTTTAAAAGGGAAAGAGAGAAAAAGAGGAAGAAAGGAAAGAGTCTGGTTTCGAAAGCGGCGAAAGCGACAGGTGAAACTTTCGCAGGCTACATAATGGTAATTACAGTTAATTATGCATTCTTCTTTTAGTTGTTATAAAAAAAACGTTTTTTCAGACTATTTTTTTAACTGACGAAGATGTCAGACACACTGGCGAAACATGTACTACAAATTTTTAAACATCGCAATATTTGTATTTGTAATGATGGTAAAGTTGCGTGTTTTGTAGCTGGCGCAATCTGCATAAATACTGCTGTAGTCACTTTGTAAAGTCCTTTAGCTGTCAGATACAGCACTAAAGTAATAAACTTTTGACAGTAAATGACACCCTTTGTCTATTGTAAACCCATGTTTACCAATCAATAAGCCACTCTAATCCGTCCCTTTAGTTGACAATGCGTCTCTCATTGTACACTGCATAGAAAGTACATTATGTATTCACCGGCAAAGTGGCTTATTATCATTTCCTTCTCAACAGGAAAGTTGTGTACCTTGACAACCAAGCAAAGCTAACAGCGTTTGCCGTAATTGCCATTCAGCAGAAGTAAGCCGCCTGACATCGGACCGAAGCCGGAGATTGTACACGCGTTTCAACTGAAGATGGGTTTCACGGAGTTAACAAACCCGCACAAAGCCAGCAACTTGCCAGGGTTTGTACACTCGTCGTTAATTAGTTATTGAATCGTAGTTTGGGACAAGCGCTTGACACGAAGAGGGCCATTCAGACCGGTGACACTTTTAGATAGTAGAATGTTAAAAGTACAACAACTAGAACAGGGCCTGTTTAACCACGACAAGAAAGTGTAAACAGCCTTTGAATTCGGGCTCAGAAAAAAGGCTGCAATGGGATAACAGTTAGATTAAAATGTGGAAAGTTAACTGGAAAATTTAGGCTTTGCTGGTGATCAATTATTGATAAGAAAGGCGTGTTTTCATTTTACAAATTCACATGTTCCCCATTCTGAGACAAGCGAAAAGAAATGTCTTTTCGGAAACAGTGAAATTAAGGCTTTCTACTATTCCTTTCAAGAATAAAAGTTTTTTTTTTTCTGCCGAGACTAATTGGTTATGGCACTTTGTCAATGGCGTAACTTGAAATCGCTGTTTTACCCCAGTGGTTCTTCTCTCCAAGTTAATCTAGAAAAAAACAGGCTATTTTAAAGCAATGTGGCCACTACCGTGCAGTTTTTGTTCCCAGTTGTACTAAACTCTATTTCCGCGTGTATGACATTTGCACGCGATGTAATCTACGCTCTTTAATTTCTTTTACTCTATAGTTCTTACTCGGCCGTCTAACTTTTCGCGTCAAAAAGGTTTCCGTTCGTAGCAGAATGGAATAACTTTTTTTTGTTGACGTTGCTAGATGTAAAAACCATAGCGTTTCTTGAATGCATATGTACACAGTATAAAATGTTTCTTCCTTATCAACAGGTACAGAGGTTATTGCCCTCAGCTGAAATATGAATGTGGTCACACATACGGAATCGCTACAGATAAACTCACTGCAGTAAGAGAAACTTCACTAAAATACAAATATTGCTTTTGCTTAAGTTTACTGAACTTAACCAAACAATACCGAGAATAGATCTTCAACTTTTGCACCATGCATATATATACACCGCTTTTGTTTAGTTGTCAACGTGGAAAGCACACAAAAGACCGCACAAAAGCGTTAACTTTCAATTCCAAAGTTCTGGAAAGTTTCTTTAAAATAAAGCATGCATAAATAAAAGATGCACGATTTTGGGGAGGTTATCAAAAAGGTATATGTCCTTAATTCATTCTGTCGTTTAATTAAGCTCGAGCAGTTCAAATTNTTCAACTTTTGCACCATGCATATATATACACCGCTTTTGTTTAGTTGTCAACGTGGAAAGCACACAAAAGACCGCACAAAAGCGTTAACTTTCAATTCCAAAGTTCTGGAAAGTTTCTTTAAAATAAAGCATGCATAAATAAAAGATGCACGATTTTGGGGAGGTTATCAAAAAGGTATATGTCCTTAATTCATTCTGTCGTTTAATTAAGCTGGAGCAGTTTAAATTTTCTAATTTCAGAATCCGGCAAATGACATGTGCAAACATATTTTTAGCACATGCAAAGTCCATTCAACCCCACTCTTCTCAGTTTTTAATGTTACGTTCTGAAAAGGCATAATTTGTCAAGTTTGTTGTTGTAGAAACTAATATGGTGTTTATTGCTCCATAGAGACACATGCGTAATGAGAAGCTTGTCCCTACGACATTACCAGATCCAAAGGAAAGAGAACCATATCTGCCGACACCGAATGGGGACAACAAGCTCACGTTAGGAATGGTCCCATATTATACTGGTCAGTAATACAAGCTTGAGATAGTCCTCATTCTCTCTAGCTTGGGTTAACCCTTAACTAAAGTCAGTATTGGCCAGTCGCGGACCGATCATCTACTTGAAAATGAAATAAGTAGTATTTGCTAAGACTCAGCCGCCCTGCATATTAATATTGTTTTTGAAATTGGACTAATCATGCTAGACAGTCCTGATTAATAGTGAAATTCTCTTTATTGCTGCACTGGTCTGGCCGGTCAGCTTTAACAAATGGTAAGCACCCTTAATATCCCTTTGTCAGTAGCTAGGAACAGAATGGTAAATCCGACGGAGGCTTTGCAAGACATGGGAGATATTGGTTAAAACTCCCAGATCGGGACTTTTGGCTACTATCAACAAAATCAGAGACCGATACTTTTACATGTTTTATAGTTTTTAGTGATGAGAAAATTCGAGCCCGAGACTAAACTGATTCTAAGAGCTAAAAAGGTTTCGAAACAAAAAATTTCTCCAAAGTTCAAGAAAAGAACTAAATCTCCAAATGTGTGCTGTGTGTTTATACATAAATCGCTGCCTTATTACGGTATACGGTATGGAGCACAGTGTCAGTTAGGGGAACCTTCCAGACTTATATTTTCAAAATTCGAGACGTTGCAGAGACGGTCTTGATTCTAGCGCTAGCGGGACCGAGTGATTCCAAGACTCTAACATGAAAGCCGAATTTATTTTGTTGTCCGAGACTGGTCATTTTTGGATAAGCCATTATACATATCTGTTAACCAATCGCCTGACCCATGTCCACACGACTTCGTTAAAATTTGTAAAACCGCAAATATACAAATTTATACACGGTTATTACTTGCTTCACAGGCAAGTGGACCGTAAACGCCGGAATTTTCGTAAACGGCTTACAGAGCGCGAAGACGGTTAAGGGATCATTGCACAGTGTGGATCGCTAAGGAGTCGTAATCGTTGTTTACACGGCCGGCGGAACCACTGGCAGTCGCGCGTACACGACACCGTTTTCTCACGGAGTTACAAATTTAGATGCACGTTTGCAAGCGTTTTTTTTTCCTTAAAAAAAAAACACAACACAGACTGCTGTTTCACAATCTTTATCTGTAAATGAGCTACTTTCGCTATTAATCTAAACTTTAAAAACGCAATGAGAGTATCGTGACCATAACGAAATCACCTCTTTTTTTCCTTTATTTTTTTAAAGAATATAGTCTCTCATAGACCTTCCCACGGTTTTTTCTAACTTTTGACATGGACAAGTAAGGAAGAATCTATCAACTCCTCTGGAAAGAGCGCCTTTAAATTAATAATGTTAGCAAGTTTAGAAGTGAAGAGTTGAAAGCTCACGAAGATAAAGCTCTCAAAGTCGCGTTTGTATTGTGGGGGCGGGGGGGGGGGGCACAATCTTGCCCCCCACCATACAAACGTTTGTAAAGTTTTGCAACTTTGCAGATCTATATCTTCGCTCGCTTAAGACAAATTGCTTTCGAATTTGGAACGTTCTCTAATTTTACGGCGCTCTTTCTAGTGATGTTGACGGATTTTCCGGATTTTTTTTCCGGATTTTTCAAAAGTTGAAAAAACCGTGGAAGGGTCACTCTATCATTTTTATTTCAAGTTCAGATTATTGCAAAAATGTTTACTTGATAGAGTCATCCTTTTAAATAACTTTTAATATGCACTGTTTTTGGTTTCCTGCGACAGGTTTTGTGGGCTTTGTTTCATGGAAATTAAGATATATAAGGTTGTCTTTAATGATGTTTACTGAAGGCTCACCAAGTTGCAAACTTCCTCATTAAAAAAATATTAATTTACTTGAAATACAAGACATGTTTTCAAACTCAATAACGACCCCTACGAAGATTAGAGTTAAGCAAACATAGTTATCATCCAAAATAACTAAATTTAATCCTTTTGTAAACTCTCAGCTCTCTTCGACAGTCAATTATGAGATACAATCCATGTTTATCATAGAGTATGCTTTAACTTTCGAGTCCACCCACGAAATTATCGCTGTCGAGTGATCATTTTGATGAAGCTTCCGCTTCAGTACATTCACAGAATGTTATTATTTTGTTTTCGGAATGAATATATTCACAGGGAAGAAACAATAGTTCAATTTGAATCGAGTTATAATAAGTCTAAATTCTTTTCTTTTGTTCTTCTTCCCTTTCTTCATTTTCAGGATATGTCCCCACCATGCGGTTTTTGTATGGATCCCGTTACAGAGAAGCTACGGAGCAAGCAGTTAGCAACTTTATGAAGAAGGATCAGACTCACCGAGCGGAACAGAACCATTTGAAGAAAACTGTGTACAGCCATTCAAAATTAAAGCCTGTACCGAGTTACAAAGAACCCAGCATGTATCCCGATCTTAGGCCAAAATACGCTAAAGGTTATTTCCCAAGTAGGTGGACTACAAACTTGGGCGTTAAATCTACAAGCCGAGTCAATTTATTTCTAACTTTAGAGTCTGTGGATGGAATCACATCATATAACCATTCAAATGAAACCTCTTTAGCAGGATTTTCACATTGTACTATTTGTTTTATATAATTTTGCAAAAAGATATATTTCAGAACGTTATACAAAGCACCAGGAGCCCATAACCCGTAGCGAGCGCATTGGAAGTATCAACAAGGAAAACTAAACCTTTGTAAAAGACAAAAAAAAATCATTTTTAGGTCTGTAGGTTTTGGCTGTGACTGATTTGTGGAATTAAAAATTTGCACGAAAATCGTTCTAAAAATACACTGGTCCATGCAAACGCCGTGACACGAGCGCATGGAAGTTGCTCGCTCCAGGTTATGGGCTCCTGAAAGCACTGGATCGCTCCATGTAAGGTAATCCGAATTCCGGAATACTGAATGCCACTAACGATTAGAATCCGGAATCCAAGTTCCACCGACATAGGCTGTCTACTCTTAGATAACCTTACACAGAGCGAACTGGGAGAAGTACTACCGACTGTCACTGCCGGGCTTACTGCTGGCAGTGTATTAAACATACTGAATAGCGTAAAATGAGACGTTTACAAATAATCACTATGATCAGGGGCAAATAAAATATAGACCTACTTTGCGTGCAATGGACCAGCCGCAATAGATCAGGTTCAGATTCCAAGAATGAACAAGAGACCGTTATTTTTTTCATCCCATTTGTTCTAATGAAACAGTGAACAGGCAAGTGCCCGAATATATATCAGAGAACTGTTTGCCTACACCAATTCCATTCACAGACATAATCTGCGGAGCTCGCAACACAATCTCTTCGTTCCAAGACCATACTGAGGCATTTAAGAGTTTCTGGTATAGAGGTGCTGTCCTATGGAATAGCCTGTCGGTCGAGGCTAAGCAGGCCACTAGTTCAAATAATTTTATTAATTCAATTAATTAGTGGAGGCAAGGTAGGCTACTAGTTTAATTAATTTTTCGTACTCTAATTTTGAAATAAGATAATTTTTATTATTGTAATGACATAGGTTAATGTTTAAGTATTAAAAAGTGTTATGTATAACTTATTGCTAAAGTGTACGGCTCCTTGGGAGAGCACTTTTTAGTGAAAAGGACTGCGTGGTTAAATAAAGTTATTGATTTGATTTGATTTGATATTTTTATCACAATAGAGCATTAGCCTTCGAATACAGCCATCTCTACTCGCACCTCGCCTCTAGGGACGGCTGCATTCATTAGCAGGCTATTTAGCATAACCTAAAATCCCTTGTTGCCATGACAGGTGATCACCGCGAATTCTGCGAGCCACCAGTACCAGGTTACACCGGCTATGTACCTCGGAGGAGAGAACATGACTTGGGAACTAGATACGCCACATGGACCAGGGACGGCTTTACTGACTCACTAGACATGCGCAATAAGCAGGAGAGCCTGGCCACGCAGATTATTGACGTCACAAGGTAACAACAGGATCTCTTTTAGAGCAAACCCGGTTTGTAGTTGCCTGGTTCAATAATTGAATGAAGATCTAAATTTCATTTGATTAGATTTGAGCAAAAAACTGACTCTGTAGGTTTCATTTCTTGTGAGGTAGTCGAAAAGGAACTTGAGCGTCGATAATTCTTTATTTTTGACTGGAAATGCAATCTTTCAAAATACTAGTCATCGAAATATGGTCTTATGGGCACTTCACTATCTCTTTCTTTCAGAATGCCTGTGTCAACCGTAAAAACCCTTATTGCAGAGCATGGAACACTCTACAAGAAAATCGGAATGAAGCCAAAATATACCGGATACATACCGCGTAAGTGAATACTTATTAATAAACCGTAACTTATTTCCTAAATATGCAAATGTGATGTAACTTTCCGTGGATTATGGGCTCCTGATAACATGCAATAGAAATTACATAGCGAACAACTTGGAACCCGCTCAAATTAACGTGTTCTTGATTTGCGGCCTTTCGGCTTCATGCCAAATGATCAAAAACTGAGTCTTGAAAACAGGTAAAAGCATTGCCTCTAAAAACCCTGACGTCCACCAACAAAAATCGATGGAGGGAAAATGAATTTTCCTTCACCGCGCCCCAAAAAAACCGCCAGCTACATCAGTAATTATTCTGTCAGTGTTGTTTTCAATTTCCCGCCATCGATTTTTGTTGGTCCAGATCTACCTTAACACATCTCCCAACACTGAACGAAAAATTGGATTTACACCTAATTTACTCAGTGCAAATTTGGTGCAAAAAAAGTGTAAACTAAGGTTAAATAAAGGTTAAAGATGGTAAATACCGCATTTACCTAAAATTTACACCCCCATGTAAACTGGCAAGCAAATGCGGTATTTACCATCTTTGCTTTTAATTTCCCCTAGTTTGCACTTTTTTGCACCATATTTACACCTAGAAAATTTGTGTAAATCCAATTTTCCGTCCAGCGCAAATCGTATTCTTGTGGGTGATTTGATTTAATTTTACCTTTTTTTACCAGTATATTTGGGGAGGTAATCATCTCTTTTGGTCCTTAAAGTCGACCATGTTCTTCAGGTGTAGGAACGGCTTTCGACAGTGGCAAAACCGATGGAAAACACCGCATTTTTTTCCGCGACATAAACCGGATTGAAACTATACGCGATTATGCTTCCACGTTATTTTCGGATTAGCCTTTAGGATTAGCCCCAACAAAACCGCCAGCAACTCAATTATTCTGGAAAGTGCTGTTTTCAATTCAGTGTGGTGGATAGTGGGGCCTGCTAGATACGTAGACTAATCCGAGAATAACGTTAGAGCACGATCGCTTATTTTGCAATCTTTATGTGGTAGAAGCGACGGAGAAAAACGGGCGGAAACAGTTTTAAAACAAAATGCGGTGTTTTCACCCGATTTTGCCATTCTTCGAAAGCCGTGTCTGCCCCAGAAGAACATGGACCTTAAGGACCAAACGAGATGATTATCTTACTATATATACTGGTTAAAAAAACTAAAACTTAATAAAACCACCCGCAGGAATACGATTTGGCAGACGTGTTAAGGTGGATCTGGAAAACTGTACGTACTTCCGTAAAAATTCTAGCTATGCCCCTGTCTTCACCTTGCGGTCTTATAAACTCTTACCCCGACAGATATGACAGTATAACCAAGCCACGAACTTATAACATCATAGTCATTATTAAATCACAAGGAATATATTCAGTCCCGGTGTATTTCATTATTGACTTTAAATTTCTATTTTAGGAGGGTAATGTCCTGTAACGTGAATTGAGAAAATGTTAATTGTAGTGGCTTAAATCCGTTGTTTTCGTCACTTTCCTTTTCTTTCAGAGCGCCGTTTTAGATTTGGCAACACGTATGGTGACACGACTCGTTCTTTACCAGTCTGCTCACAATCTTGCCCCCCACCATACAAACGTTTGTAAAGTTTTGCAACTTTGCAGATCTATATCTTCGCTCGCTTAAGACAAATTGCTTTCGAATTTGGAACGTTTTCTAATTTTACGACGCTCTTTCTAGTGAGGTTGACGGATTTTCCTGAACTGGTCTATGTCAAAAGTTGAAAAAACCGTGGAAGGGTCACTCTATTATTTTTATTTCAAGTTCAGATTATTGCAAAAATGTTTACGTGATAGAGTCATCCTTTTAAATAACTTTTAATATGCACTGTTTTTGGTTTCCTGCGACAGGTTTTGTGGGCTTTGTTTCATGGAAATTAAGATATATGAGGTTGTCTTTAATGATGTTTACTGAAGGCTCACCAAGTTGCAAACGTCCTCATTAAAAAAATATTAATTTACTCGTAATACAAGACATGTTTTCAAACTCAATAACGACCCCTACGAAGATTAGAGTTAAGCAAACATAATTATCATCCAAAATAACTAAATTTAATCCTCTTCGACAGACAATTATGAGATACAGCCCATGTTTATCATAGAGTATGCTTTAACTTTCGAGTCCACCCACGAAATTATCGCTGTCGAGTAATCATTTTGATGAAGCTTCCGCATCAGTACTTTCACAGAATGTTATTATTTTGTTTTCGGAATGAATATATTTACAGGTAAGAAACAATAGTTCAATTTGAACCGAGTTATAATAAGTCTAAATTCTTTTCTTTTGTTCTTCTTCCCTTTCTTCATTTTCAGGATATGTCCCCACTATGCGGTTTTTGTATGGATCCCGTTACAGAGAAGCTACGGAGCAAGCAGTTAGCAACTTTATGAAGAAAGATCAGACTCACCGAGCGGAACAGGATCAATTGAAGAAAACTGTGTACAGCCATTTAAAATTAAAGCCTGTACCGAGTTACAAAGAACCCAGCATGTATCCCGATCTTAGGCCAAAATACGCCAAAGGTTACTTCCCTAGTAAGTGGACTACAAACTTGGTCGCTAATCTACAAGAGTCATTTGGTCAATTTAGTAGAGTGTGTGG